AACTGCCGCCCTCCTGGCCCCCCGCGCGCCGCGCGCCACATGGCGAAGCTGTTACGCCCCGCCCCGCCCCGCTCTTCCCGGCTAATGGCGGCAGCCCGAGCCCCTGACGTCACAGAGTGGGCCGATCGCGCCACCGCGAAACAGCGCCAGACGCTCCAGTCCCGTCAGTGGCCAGCGGTGGGTAATTTGCGGGCCCGCCGCCGAATAGGGAGGAGGGCAAAGTGGTGAGAGGGGCGGGGCTAAGGGCAGCCGCTTATTTAAAGGAAGTCGGACGGGGTGAATTGAAACGGTCGAAGCAGAAGGCGTCAGGAGCAGAGGGGGGCGGGGGGAAGGAGAGACAGTTGATTGGCAGGAAACCAAATGAAGGCGGAGACAAGGGAGATAGATAGGTGGGCGAACCAATGACGGCGCTTAGCCACCACCACGGACTTGAAACTGCAGAGCTTGAAGGGGGCAAATAAGGCTCATCGAGTCCAGCCGTATAGTTATCGCAAGGAAGGAACGTTATAGAAGACCTTCCCCTTTACACACGAGGAAACGAGTCTGAATTGTAGAGGCTTAGCAAAAAAAAAAAAAAAAAAAAGTACCAGTTCAAGTGAATGCATGTGCTATGTACCCAATTCACCACATCAGTCTTGTGGCGCGGGCAATAAAAATGCTGATGTTCCGTGTTTATTGCTTTTCTAAAGCTTGGTATCCGTTGTTGCCGTTATTCGCTGCAAAAGAGTAGTCACCGTCGCCAGGCTGTGGAGAGGGGGGGAATACAGTACCTCCCTGTGCCTAGGTGCTTGTGGAAATCAGGGGGGCCACCTCTCCCTGGATAAAGTGCTTACAGGGTGATTATTTAATATTCTGGGTCTCCTAAGACTGATCTCTTGACATGAGCCCGATACAATCTATGCACCATGAAGTTTTCAAAAACGTTTTTGTTTCATAAACAGCAAGTGATTTTTCCACCATTTCCAAGGTTCACTCAGCCGTCCATCCTTCCGAAGTCAGACCGAGATACCCATCTTGATGGGGGTGGAGGTGGAACGTGTAGCCTGTGTAATGAAATTCCCAGAGAGCGCTTGAAACTAAGGGGCAGTATACAGTATAAATTACACACTTTGATTTTGTTGGCAAGATAGTAATGTGTGGCAACCACAAGGAGGCATCATGCTACCTTGCAAATGAGTACAGTTCAATAATAAGAGATATTATGGGAGTCAAGGGACATCTTCCATTTTAATAAGCATCATCTTAGAACTAGAACAGTTCTAAGAATGATCTGAGCTCCTGTCAAGGAGGCACAATGGGGAATTTAACTCCCAATCTCTGGCTCCACAGCCAGAAACCTAAACCATTTAATTATCAAAATGCTGCCAAAGTGAATAGGGCCAGAGATCGTGCACTTATCTTCATCATCTTTAGGTCTGTAGAGCTGGAAGGGATCCTATGGATCATCGAGTTCAACCTCTAATACACTTCCAGCTTCAGGTTCCACTGCCAAATACACAGTGGTAGATCTTTTTGAAACAAAAAATTAAAATGAAATGTAAATTCTGCTCTTAACGTGGTCGGCCTTCCATCCAAAAGACTGACTAGGTCAACATCTGTATTTTGTAATAATTTATTATTAAATCTCCTTTATTATTACACAACCATATGGGGCTTTTGCTGGTCCTCCACACTCCAACCATAAATGATTTTGTATTTTTTACTGAGGAGAGTAAAGTTCACAGAATTATAAAATCTCTGTTTATGCAGCCAATATACTTAAGTATTATTATTTTGACTTACATAATTCCTCATAATGCTACAGCACTCTCTGGGTGAATCTCTGTTTATGCAGCCAATATACTTAAGTACTTATTATTATTTTGACTTATATAATTTCTCATAATGCTACAGCACTCTCTGGGTGGCAATTATGCAAATAATACTTTGCCCCCACCCCCAGCTAGTTGGGTACTAATTATACCAACCTTGGAAGACTGAGCCAGCTGCCTGAACCCCTCGGGATTAAATTCAGGTCATGAGCAAAGGCTTGGTTGCAGTATATCCACTGCACCATAGGGCTCTTTATACTTCATTATTTATTTTATTATTTCCACTTCTATACTGCCTCATTAGTGACACCACTCTCTGGGCAGTTCACAATATGTAATAAAATCATACAGTAAAAATACTATGCAAAAATTTGAAAAATTACAATAATATTAGAATAAACCCTCTCGAACTAAAACCCGATCGAACTACCCAGTCACATCCGACCCTTGGCAATTTAATGAGCCAGCTCTCTCCATGATTTCCGATCTCGTACTGCTTCTTTTAAGTGCTTTATACTTTGGCTGGTGTCTGCTTTGATTACATCTAACCAACACATTACAGTATTTGGTGTCCTCGTTGTTGTCTATCAACTGACCATTCCGAGCAGAACATCTTTCTCCAATGATGTTGATCCCATGACATGGCTGAAATAACTAAGTCTAAATTTTGCTATTTTGCCTTCCAGTGACATGTCTTATGCGTTTCAGCACTTCTTTATCCATTATACAGTATTTGCAATCCATGGAATACACAAGAGCCTCCTCCAACACCATAGCTCAAAAGAATCAATTTTTCTTCTTCATCGTCCAACTTCCACAGCTATATGTAGTTATGGGGAACACATTGGTATGAACTAATCTGAACTTGCTTGCCAAGCTGACATTGTTACTTTTCCGTGTTTGGTTGATACTCATTGCTGTGTGACCTAGCATGATTTGACGTTTTATTTCTTGGCTGCAATCGCTGTTTGGATTGACCAGTGAACCTAAAAAAGATGTATTATTTCACAATTCAACGTCCCTCTCCACCAATTACTATTTCAATGTTCCAAATTTTTGGCTAAAACTACCTTTCACTAAAATATTTTTAGATTTTTAAGCACAAATACTTAAACAGAAAAGATCAATGGGCCTCAAGTTTAATTTTTAAGAGGCTGCAAATTGATCATGGGTGAAATTCACCAGGGTGAGGCCTCTGTTGACCAAAATTACTGAGGTTGAGAACCACCCGTAAATTGCATCCTCCTCCATGGTTTTTAAACAATTTCCGCCGATTTTAAGGCCCGTGTAAGAGGAGGAAAAGGTTACTCTGCAAAGTCTGTTCAGATATAATTTCCTATTAAACCCAACAAATTTATTCCCAGGTACGTTTTTATACAAAGGGACGTGGTGGCGCTGCAGGCTAAACCGCAGAAGCCTGTGCTGCAGGGTCAGAAGACCCAGCAGTCATAAGATCGAATCCACGTGACGGAGTGAGCGCCCGTCGCTTGTCCCAGCTCCCGCCAACCTAGTGGTTCAAAAACATGCAAATGCAAGTAGATAAATAGGGACCACCTCGGTGGGAAGGTAGCAGCGTTCTGTGTCTAAGTCGCACTGGCCATGTGGCCACGGAAGATTGTCTTCGGACAAAACGCTGGCTCTATGGCATGGAAACGGGGATGAGCACCGCCCCCTAGAGTCGAACACGACTGGACAAAAATTGTCAAGGGGAACCTTTACCTTACGTTTCTATATAGAACTGCCGCCCGACTCCCCAGTAAACACGCACGGGGTCCGCCTGCGGAGTCTCCTAATAAGATTCAGCCGGCGGGGTCGTTTCTGGGGACGCAGGGCCGAGAAGGCTCTCGCGACCGCGCCAAGACGGAAGGTCAAAGCTCCCGACTCGAGAGGCCGACTCGTCCGGCTCCTCCGCCGCGGACGAGTGGAACGCGAGTCACGTGAGTCACCGCGGCCCCTCTTGGTCGCCCCTTCCTCTCTAGCTGAGTGGAGGGGGGAAGAGAGAGAGCGGTCTCTATGGTGCCGGCGTTATTTCCGGTTCTAACCGGAAGTGGTCTTGAGGTACTCCGGGACGAGCGGTTTTGGGTGCGTTCGGGTTTTGGGGAAGAAGACGAGCAGCCGCCGGCGGCGCCTTTCCTCTTCATTCCCCCCCTTTACCTTTACTATCACTCTCCGCTCATCCTCCGTGGGGGTGTATTGTTATCGCCACCCCCTCGTCACCTTGTCCCTCCCTCCTCCGGGCAAGGGAGCCGCCCCCTCCGGTGGACTTCGAAGGTGAGCCTCAGGGCCTCTTCCCGCCTCCCTTCCCTACCCCGCCGGTTCGTCTTCACTGGGAGGGGTCCCGGCCCTCTTCTCAGCCGCGGGTGGTAGTTTCCGTTTACCTCAGGGTAACGGTTTTTTTTTTGAACTGAGGAGCAAGGGAATATTGGGGCTGGTGTGAAGAGAGAGCAGGAGGTTCTGGGCTGTGTTCCCAATGATTTTGGGGAACTGGGCTGCTACGAAGCATATTTATTTACTTCATTTATTTAAAATATTATAACCTCGCCTTCCTCCTTTATCAAGGACCCCGGTCGGCTTACGTAATTGAAAGACAACATCTGAAGCTAAAAGCAATGAGTCTAGAAATGCAGTTTACATCATTTACAGGCAATATTGGAAGCTAAAAATATACAAAGTGTAGCAATATTAATACCTAGCACATGCTGGGTAGGGTTGCTGTGTGGAATACTCTCAAACTGGCTTTTCTTTGTATTACTTCCCTTTGTATGCTTGGTGTGTGGGGTTTTTTTGTTCTTTTTTATTTCAGTGGCTTAAATGTCTGTGAGACGTTAAATAAAAAAAATTTAACATTTAAACCTACTTTACAAGAATAGAGGTAAACAGAGGCTGTTTCCTAAGTGGGGGCACAAAGATCTGATTGTGTATTAGCACAGTCAAATACTAGGTTGTCATGTTAGCTGTCATAAATGGTCTTGTTTGTCTCTCGGCTTTCCTTCAGAATATCCAGAATACAGAAGTATTAAGTGGTACTCTTGCTCCAAGGTGCATATTTTGTGAATGTATGAAGCAACCAAGGGTAATTAGTGTTGGGAGGACTGCCAGTTACTTTCTGTGGGGTGTGTTGTTATCCCCACCCCCTCTTTTCTGAGAGATTGCTGTCTTAATGACCTGCTCATCCCTGAGCACTCATTTTCTCAGATGACAACATTTCTACAGTTTGTGGTTACTTCAGGCTGTGTTCTACAAATTTATTTGCCACTTTTGTTGCAAATTGGAAGAGCTGATAAACGTGTGTCAACCAAATAGAGGATAGTGTATATTCTTTATGAAAGCAGATAAAATGACATAGAATTTTAGGGGAGGAGTGATAGATCCTGTAAAGAACATATGCATTGCTTGTGACAGCTTCCAGGATCAGTCTCTGGTGTTTCAACCTGATGTTGGGGAAATTGGAACCACTGAAGAGCAGGTCAGCATAAACCAGGAGTGGGCAACCTCTGTCTGTTGTTTAACTGTGGCTTCCACCCACCTTAGTCAGAATAGCTGGTAGTGGAAGAGGATGGGAGTTGCAGTTAAGTAAACAATTAGAGTTGCACAACTCTTTTGAAAGCAACATGAAGCTGACCAGTGATCTGACTGTTTAAGGGAGGATCCTGTACTGCAGAAAATAGGCCCCTTTGTTAGCATTTAAGCTTTGTTTATGGAGGAAATCACTTTTAATGCATCTTCTCAATTTTTTGCCATCTAATATTTTTATTAGGTTTGAAAAAGTGTATTTTATCCTCTGCTTAGTTAAAATTTATAATTTTCATTGTATTGTTGGTACGCATATGGCAATGGGAGAAGGAAAAACATGTAGAAACGATAATCGAAAGTGTAGATTAGACTTTTAAAAGAAGATCATTGGGAAAGAAAATTTATTGGGTAATTTATTTGAACAATTTCGTCACTAACTGGGCAGTTAAATTGTTATGTTACTAAATATGTGGTTAAAATATTAAAGTGCATTATTACTAGGTTCGAATGTTAAGTTACAATGCATTCCCTAGGTTGCCAATATGGCAATACAGTACTGGGATTGCTATGTAGAGGATTTTGTGCAGATATTTTTAGTTTGCTTCTCTTCTGGAGCAGGAGCTCTCTTAAAACAGCATTTCTCAGATTGTAGGCTGGGGCACCAAGGGAGCTTCAAGTCAGAAGTGGGTTTCAGTGTTTTAACTTGCTCAGTGATTCTTCCTTTGCTCCATTTTGAGTCACATCCTTTGTGTTGGTACCATGCCTGCATCTCCACTGAGACATAGGCAGAGTGAAACAAAGCATCCAAATTTGAAACAAGGAAAGAAAAGGAAAAGGTGGCAAGGAGACAGGGACCTTTGGGGATTTAAGAAGGAAAAGGAGGATGCATTATTTGAAAGGAAAGGTCCATAGGAACGATTAAAGGAGATTAGAAAAAGGGAAAAAGGAATTAAAAATAATAGAAAAATAAAGAGGAAAATGATCAGAGGGATACATTTTTACAGAAGAATCTTAGACATATATTGTTTATTTTATGTATAGTGTACTTCATTTAATTATGTAAAAAAGCTTTTGAGTATTGAAAGAAACAAAATCTAGAATATTGTACTGAATAAGTTAAACCTACATAGATATTGAGAAACAAAATATGCATTTTACCTGATTGAAAAATTACTAGATGCTGACATCTTGTAAATTAGAATATTCCTAGTGAATTAGGGTGTTAACAGAATTGGATAAACCAAGGTTAATAAGAAACTACAGTACATAAGAACAAAGTAAACTAGCAAATGAGATAACATGAAAAATATACAGCTATATGATGGGATTTATGTAACTGGATTTATGTTTTCTAATTAAAGATAAGATGTGGTTTTAAAGCATAGATAATAGTTTGCTGTTCTTATGATAAGGTTAGGAAAGTGAACAGTGAATTGATGTGATTTAGTTGAAATGCTGCAGTAATTGGAAAAGGAACATTTTAACTTCTTGAATTAAAACACAGCTACATGATTTGAACAGCATCAACAGTTGCTGAAATCCTGTTCATTCTGGAATTACAAAGTTACATCTGTGAAAGTGTGTCAAGCATCATGCCCAGGTGACCAGCATTGCACAATTTTACTGTGCAATCAATTGCATGGTTCCCATTGCGACTGTTGCATGGCACAAAAAAGCAGAAGTGCTTTGTGAATGTTTCACTCTGCTGCAGTTTCTCTACTGTTTCTGCAGCCTTATTTGTATATGTGGATTTGGGTAACAGGATTTTACCCAGTGAATGAAAGTTCAGTGCAGAAGATTGCTGGTTTGAATAAATTATTTAGCTGGACAAATTAAATTCTGATCTAAAGAACATACTGTATTGGTGTGTTAGTCATTGTAACAGTCCTCCCCTACCATTGTACTTTAAATTATTACCTGCTTTCAATATTGTATCCTGAGCCAATTATTGAGATCCTAGTTTAAAAACCAATCCCAGTTGTGAAGGAAGAACTCCATGGATACTGCATTCTTGTGGTATTCCATGGAGTTCAAACTCTGGATTTGGGGACTGAAGACAGAAACACAACTCTGTGCCATTAGGTATGTATGCGTCATCCGTGCTAGATCCTGACTGAAACCTTCAGTCCTGAAATCAGGTGACATGCCTGTATTATTTTCTCCAATGCACCTTGATGCTGGCCCAGATCCTGCTACCTAGTTGCAGTGGTGTAGTAATTGACATAACTTTTGGAGACTAATTGCTCCAAGTTAAGAAATCAATGTAGATCTGATCAATTGCATGCTGAGTCACACAATTCTGTATGTAACTGATGACATCTATGATGATTTCTTAACTTGGGCAGTTTACGTCCAAAATTTATGCTATTTGCATAACCATGCAAGAGGACTTTCGCCTCAGACTGCTTCTTTCCTGGTTCAGTTTCTTAGTAGGCGATAGATAAGTGATACCTTTTATGAATTTGGGACATTAATAACAGCATACTATATAAATTGGAACTGCCTACAAGAATTTGATTCACAGCCTTGAAGAAGATGATTTATCACCGAACGGTCACCGTTTGTTTTTTGTTCTATGTTTTTTTGTTTTATATTTTTAATGGTCTATTAAAGATATTCTCTATTCCTGTATTTGTATTATTTCCATGGTCATGTGGCCTTTTCCTAATTTTTAGTAGGGGATATTATTCTTGGTGTTGATTTTCTTCCATGTGTAGCCTTTCCGCATATATTGCTTCTCTGTATTGGATCTTTCCCAATTGAATTTCTGGCTTTGATCCCAGAATAATGCAGCATTCTTGACTATAGGACTGCTTCATCCTGTTTTGATGTTGACCTTTCACTTGTGTTCTTAAGGCATTCCCATTTGGGGAAATTTTATGGAAGGCTTCCAGGAAAAACTCATGTCATGGAGTGTTTCATAGAAGAGACACTTCTCAAGATTCAGTATGTGTTTAGTGTTGAAATTTCTGGTGCATATTAGCCTGTTACTGTTTTAATGCATTGTTCAGGGGACTATAAAAGATAAGAGACAACCCATAAATATATTGATGTAAACATCATGAAACAGAATTATTCAAAAATTGTACAATATAGTGTTGTAGACAACATTTACTCAATGAAAGCAGCCTACAACGATATCTTCGCTGAAGATCCCTTGCATATTATAGTGGACTTCTAAGCATCACTTTTTAGTGTACATACAATTCACATGGGTTGCTCATCAGGCCTCCCTTCCAGATAAGCAAGTATAACGTAGAATAAACTCCTGCAGCACAGCTTGAGCAAAGGAAGACAATTTAGGGTGAGTAAGTTGTCACTTAGGATTGGTTGTCTAGTATTGACTGATTTTATTCCATGATATATCTTTGGAGGAGCAGCCGGTTTTCAAAGAACCAAGCTTGAAAATTACTTTTCATTATATTTCATTCTTTGCTACACTTTTAATTAATTTATTTCTCCAAAACAATATGATTATTTAAAAATACATTCTGATGTTTCCTAAAACAGATAATCCCTTGGCTTGATTACTTTTTATTCTTTCATTAGACTATTCATCTTGATTATGAAACACCAGAAGAAGAAGCACATAGGAATACCAGCTATTCCTGCAGCAAATACTTTGAGGATAGAACATTCCATTATATGCCATTAAATCAAATTTTAAGCATTTTACTCACATGTATAAAACATGTTATATTAAAAGGAAAGATAAAATACTGGGATGCTTTTTCTGCTGGAATAATCTAGAACTTTCT